CCATAGTCACAGACAACAGAACTTTCTTTCCTTCCAAGTCTTTCCTTCCATTCTTCCAGTCCTGTCTGGGAGTTGGTACCAGTGGGAGAGGGGAGGATATAAGGAAAGGGTGTGGGAAGATGAATGTATTGGAAATATTATGCACTGATGTGTGAAAATGGAAAAATGAGACCTGTTGAAACTATTCCAGGAATGGAGGGAGGGAAGGACAAAGGAGAATGATGAAGGGGGTGAATTCAACTATGATATATTGTATATGATATATTGTAAGAACTTTTGTAAATGTCATAATGTACCTCCAGTATAACAATAATATGATAATAAAAATTAAATAAAATATGAAGGTAAAATATAAAATAAATATTCTTTTCTCAGTGACAGGGTCTCACTGTATAGTTCAGGCTGTATAGTTCACAATACTTCTGCATGAGCCTACTGAGTTCTGGAATTACAGGCATGCACCACCATGCCTAGCCTTTTTGGGTATTTTCCAGATAGGGTCTTGCAAACTATTTGTGCTGATGGGCTTCAAACTTTGATCCTCCTGATCTCTGTCTCCTGAGTACCTAGGATTATAGGCATGAGCCACTGGCACCCCGCTAAAGCCTAACTTTTTTTTTTTTTAATGCCAGGGATTAAAGCCAGGGCTTCATGAATGCTAGGCAAGAACTCTACCATTGAACTATACCCCCTAGCCAGCCCTATGTAATTTTTTTGTTGTTTCAGAAAAAGTCTTGCTATGTTGCCCAAGCTGGCCCTGACTTCCTGCTCTCAAGCCATGCTCCCAACTCAGCCTCTCCAATAGCTGGGATTGTAGGTGCATGCCACCATGCACTGTACATTATCAAATCTTTAGGGCAAAGAGAGAGAGCAGAGAGACATTGCTCCTTCCTCACTCCCCAGACCAAACCTCTAGCCAACAGGTAAGTGATTTTTCATTTGGGTCTTTTTGTTTTTGGGCAGTACTAGGGTTTGAACTCAGGGCCTCATGCTTGCTAGGTAGGCACTCTACCACTTGAGCCATTCCACCAGCCCTTTTTTGTGTTGAGTATTTTTGAGATAAGGTCTCTTCATCTATTTGCCCAGGCTGGCCTCAAACTCTGATCCTCCTGATTTCTGCCTCCTGAGTAGCTAGGATTGCAGGGGTGAACACTGGCACCGGATTAAAACTTTAAAATGTTATGGGGATTTTTGTGAGGTACTAGGGCTTGAACTCAGGGCCTACACCTTGAGCCACTCCGCCAGCCCTTTTTTTTTAATGGGTTTTTAATTGAGATATGATCTCTTGAACTATTTACTTGGGCTGTCTTTGAACCACGATCCTCCTGATCTCTGCCTCGTGAGTAGCTAGGATTATAGGAATGAGCCATCAGCACCTGGGAGGGATTTGTTGTTTTTGTTTGTTTGTTTGTTTGAGACAGGGTCTCACTATGTGTTTTAGGCTGACCTTGAACTCACAGTTCTCCTGCCTCATCCTCCATAGTGTTGAGACTGAAGGCATGTACTACCATGCCTGGCTTGATTGGTTATCTTTTATGTTTTTTTGGGTTTTTTGGGTGGAAATCAGCTCTTAAAAAATAAAAGGGGCTAGTGGAGTGGCTCAAGTGGTAGAATACCTGCCTAGCAAGCATGAGACCCTGAGTTCAAACCCCAGTATTGCCATAAATTAAAATAAAAGTATTTTCATCTGTGATTTGAATTAGCTTTTTTTAGTGGTTTAGTGCCTATATTTCTATTTGTGTTTATAGTCACATTAGTGACAAGGAAGCACTTAAAAAGATAAAGTACACTATTTAATTCGGTATTCTCAATATGGATGCTCTCTGAAGTTCAGCTCCAGGGCTGGCAGTGTGGATCAAGTGGTAGAGCACCCACCTAGCAAGTGTGAGGCCCTGAGTTCAAACCCCAGTACCACCAATAAATAGATTTTTTAAAATACAAAAATAAAAATACAGTTGAAGTTCAGCTCCAACTCACTCTGTAAAAAAAAAAAAAAACTTTTCTTTAAGCCAGGCGCTGGTGGCTCACACCTGTAATCCTAGCTACTCAGGAGGCAGAGATCAGAAGGATTGCAGTTTGAAACCAGCCCAGGCAAATAGTTTGTGAGACCCTATCTCGAAAATACCCACCACAAAAAGGGCTGGTGGAGTGGCTCAAGGTGAAGGCCTGAGTTCAAGCCCCAGTACTGCAAAAATAAGTAAATAAATAAAACTTTCCTTTAGGAGTCTTTGCTTCCATTTCCTGTATGGGGAACAAGAAATGTTTTTCTCTCTGTTTCTCCCCCCCTTACCTATACTTTATACTGTTATACTAAAATAAATTCTTGTTAAAACTTAAAAAGAATTTTTCCTTTATTATGCAAAACTACATTTCATTCAAAAAAAGGTTTTTTGGTTGTATTGGTGTTTGAACTCAGGGCCTCACACTTGCTAGGCAGGCACTCTACCACTTGAGCAAGTCTACCAGCCTTTTTCTATGTCAGGTATTGTTCAAGTTGGGATCTCAAGAACTATTTGCTTGGGGCTGGTTTGGAACCAGGAAACTTCCTGATCTCTACTTTCTGAGTAGCTGGGATTACAGATGTGAGCCACCAGTGCCCAGCCCACTCATTCTTTAGATGTCAGCAAAAATGCTTAGCCTATCTCAAAAAAACAAAACCATCACAAAAAGGGCTGCTGGAGTGGCTCAATGTATAAGACTTTTAAGTCTTGAGTTCAAACCTCAGTACCACAAAAAAGCAAAAACAAAAGAATCAGTCTCAAGGAATGTTCCCCTCATCCTCTATCGTTCACCCTCATAGCATTTCATGCTTCTTTCCATACCTCCTTGTCAGGTTGTAAATTCCATGAGGGCAGCAACTGCATCTGTGTCATTTATCTATGCATCCCTAGTTACTAGCAAACTGCTTGGCATATAGCAGGTGCTCAATACTTGTTGAGTGAATGGAGGAGATAACACACACACACACACAACACAGGAGACAAAGTCACTGTCCTACAAAGTGTATTGGAACTAGAACACACACAGAACAAGAGAACCTTCGAAAGCATTACACTTGAAGCAGGGTAGGGTTTCTTTTATTTGAGAGAAACCAGTCTTTTGAAGAGTCAGTGGAGTGACCCTCTCAGTTAAAACACGTCAAACAAATTAGCAGTCTTTGTGCAGGAATTGGGGTATGATTGAACATTTTGTGAAGTATTCTAGACTGCCTGCCTTTCTTCGAGATCTCTGAAGTGGAAAATGGAGGAGGGAAGGAAAAGAGATAGATTAATTTTCAACAGGATCCCAGGGATTCCAAAACTCAGAATAGTTATCCACAGCCAGGGTGAGGGAAGCAGTGAACTAAGGTTACTCTGGCTCAGAACCCAGAAATTAAACTTGAGGGGAAAAAAAAAAAATGTCTAGGTTAGTGACCTGAAGCTCAGCACAAAACAGAGGGAGGACTGTTTTGACTCAAATCTGTGGCTAATGATGAAACTGCACCTCTTCCTCAGCTGTCCTGGCATGCGTTTTGTAATCTGAGGCACAATGATGGGGGGTTACAGAACAAAATGAAGAAGATGATAAAATGCAGTGCTGAGAGAGGGACTCTCCTTTCCTGACAAATTGTGCTACCCCAGACTGTGCAGGAAGCTGGCCAAGCAAGACTGAATCACAAAAAATCTTTAGACAATGATGGATATAAAGAGAAAGGTTGCCAGGCGCTGGTGACTCATGCCTGTAATCCTAGCTACTCAGGAGGTAGAGATCAGGAGAATCGCGGTTTGAAGCCACCCGGGGAAATAGTTAGCGAGACCCTATCTCGAAAAACCTGTCACAAAAATAGGGCTGGTGGAGTGGCTCAAGGTGTAAGCCCTGAGTTCAAGCCCTAGTACCGAAAAAAAAAAAAAAAAGGTCTCAGACGTTTTTGTTTTTTTATTTTTCAGCTGCTCCCCCCACGAAATAGGGCCAGTTGGAGAGAAAGAGGCCTGAGGGTTTATCTTGGAGCACCCTGGATTGAATGGGTGAAGGAAGGGACAGGGGTTGACTTTCGCTGGGATCTCCAAATTTAGCACTGGAAGGACTGAGGTCACCAAATAAAAGGACCAACCTCTGTCATTCACCACCTCTGTAATTCTCCATACTTTGGGTGGCTGGGGTGGGCTGGGAGGGGGCGGATTGGGGATGGAACCCAGAGCTTTGCGCATGCGAGGCAAGCGCCCCACTACTGAGCTACATCCCTAGTCCCTCCATTGTGTCTTCATTAGTCCAGGTTTCCCCTTCCAGGACATTAGTCTTCCAATAAACTGGCCGGCAGGACCGCCTCTGGTTCGGTTCGATTAAGCTTAGTGCGGTTGCTTCGGCCTAGTTCGGTTGCTAAGACCTGAAGCTTTGCGGTTGTGGAGGAAATGATGTTACGCCCAATAGGCGGGCTAAATAGATGCCTCCCGCCTCCTGATTGGCTGCTGGGTTTTGACTAGATTCGCAGTCTCCTGCGCTTCAGGGTTAGTTGTCAGTATCTCTCCCCCAGCTGCTAGTAGTACTTAGGCGGTCCTCTCCGTTTGGGACTAGATTCCGAGGACATTATTCATTAAACACGTAGCTTCGAAAGGAGAGGTGGTTCGAATAAACCGGCTCATGCCACCATTCTAGGCGCTTTGGCTGCTCAGGTACTTTTTGAATCGATGGGTGTCCGTGGTTGGGACGGCTACCCGAACTGTAGGAAATTGTGGAATTTATAGTTGTAAACTATGGTCTGGTTGGAACCGAGGCTCGAGGAAAACAGATTTTTTTTTTTTGAAGAAAAAAAATTGGAGACTTTCAGGACTGCGGACCTGGGACTCAGAAGGATGGGAAAGAACAAGAAGGAGTCTAAATAAGAATCCTGCAAATTAAAAAAAAAAAAAATCCTGCAATTAGCATTGTTTTGGTTTTCATTTCAGGTGCTGACCTAAACCTGATCCATCACTTTCCAACCAGAATTCTTCGTTGGCCCACTGTGAAAGGAACCAGGCAGCCAAATGGAGACGCCACCAGTCAGTCCAGTGAAAGACAAGGATACCTCTGAATCACAGCAACAATGGGAAAAGAACCCCTGGGAGAACTTTAATCCAACTACTAAGTTTGGGCAGCAGTTCCGAGACCCTCCAACTGAAACCCTTGAGCTGGAAGCGAGTCCAGATCCAGCCAGTCAAATTCTGGAGAATCCCGAAGGGACTGAAAAACTGGTGGCTGAACTTAAATCTCATGAATCCACCAATGAGATACTACAGCCTCTTCAAGCTTCTGAACTCTGGTACTGTCCTGATGGGAGCTTTATCAAGAAGATCATAATCCGTGGTCATGGCTTGGACAAACCCAAGCTAGGCTCCCGCTGTCGGGTACAGGCTTTTGGGGTTCCTTTTGGGTCAGGGATGTCAGAAGGCTGGACAGAACTAACTGTGGGTGTAGGGTCATGGAGGGAGGAAACCTGGGGGGAGATCATAGAGAAATGCTTAGAGTCCATGTGTCAAGCTGAGGAGGCAGAGATTCAGCTTCCTAGACACTCTGGGCCACCTGTCAGGCTCATACTGGACTCCTTCACTCAGGGTCGGGACTCTTGGGAGCTGGAAATCAGTGAGAAGGAAGCCTTGGCCAGGGACGAACGTGCAAGGGGCACAGAACTATTTCGAGCTGGGAATCCTGAAGGGGCTGCCAAATGCTATGGACGGGCCCTTCGGCTGCTGCTGACCTTACCCCCACCTGGCCCACTAGAAAGAATTGTCCTCCATGCCAATCTCGCTGCCTGTCAGTTGCAGCTAGGGCAGCCCCAGTTGGCAGCTCAGAGCTGTGACCGGGTTCTGGAGCGGGATCCTGGCCACTTAAAGGCTTTATACCGAAGGGGGGTTGCCCAGGCTGCCCTTGGAAACCTGGAAAAAGCAACTGCTGACCTCAAGAAAGTGCTGGCGGTAGAACCCCAAAACCGGGCAGCCCAGGAGGAACTGGGGAAGGTGGTCATTCAGGGGAAGAAACAGGATGCAAGGCTGGCTCAGGGTCTGCGCAAGATGTTTGATTAAAAGTTAAACCTTAAAAGAGACAGGAACCTGTGGGATTGTGGTCTGTGCTGTGAGATTTTTTTTTTTTTTAGGGGCCCAGAGGGAGGGTTTTGACCCATATCCTATTCCCAGATTTTGCCTTCCTCGAGGAGGTAGTAATGGTCTCAGTGTGCTGTTTAGGGGGAAACTTATCTATCTTCGAAGACGTCGAGAAGCTGTCCAAACAGAAAAGTTTAGGGCTGGCGGGGGAAGATGCCAAAACTTTAAAGGCTGGGAACTACATCTCCCAAGCACCTTGTGGCTGGGGGCTGTGAGCCGCGTGCACCGGCTGTACTGCCCCCTTACAGTGGAACTGCTGTTGCTCCGCCGTGCTCCCATTGGCCCCGCCTGTACGGCCATTTCTTCTCTCAAGTCCTGTTCTGGCACCCAGGCCTCTTACTGGCCGGTAGAACTTCCGGTACGCCCCCTTTCTTAAGAGCGTCAACTGATTTGTTGATGATGGGGAGGGGCGGGCCTTAGGAACCGTCTCATGGTCGGGGGGCGGGGGGAAAAGATGGCGGAGCTGATGCTCCTCAGCGAGATCGCGGACCCGACGCGTTTCTTCACCGACAACCTGCTGAGCCCGGAGGACTGGGGTGTGCGAAGTGAGGCCTCGGGAGGGAGAGGGCTAGGGCAAAATGTGTCCTGGAGGCATGCGGGAAGGAAGCGAAAGCCCAAAGAGGAAGGCTGGGCAAATAGCGAAAACACCATCTGAAGGAGGGCAGAGCAGAGGGACTCGCTGTGTTTTCCCGGGATACGGGAGTGGAGGAAGACCTCTGCTCCTTGCGCCAACATCGGGTTGCTACCAGGCCGGGGAAGTTCCTGTGCTGTGTCACTTTTCAAGTGGGCGGGCGGTGGGTCTGGCCGAGCTAAGCCAATGAGGGATGGGGCCGGGGCTTGAGCGCGATCTGTACGCTGGTCCGCTGGAGACCCTCCTGACACGCCGCACTCCTTGCAGACAGCCCCTTGTACCCTGGCCTGGATGAAGTGGCTGAGGAGCAGATGCAGCTCTTTCGTTGCGTGGAGCAGGATGTCCCGGTATTGCCCTTCAGCCTTTCTGTAACCTTTAGTGGGAGTGGTCCCAGAACCTGGAGTCATCCCTAAACTCGGCCTCATCTGAGGTCACCCCTACTTTCTCACATTCCTGCCCTCTGACATCTTCCTTTATTCAGTTTGACAGCAGCTCTGTGGATGTGGGGATGGATACCAGTCCTCCTGAACCCCCGTGGGACCCTCTGCCTATCTTCCCAGGTAAGATATCCTTTATGGTTTCCTCATCTTTCCAGAAATTGACATCTTCCCGCTGTTTCCCAGAAATCACATAATCCCTTGTATCCTAACACATCTTCTGCATAAGTATCTGTGCACGTCTGTCTCCTTTGATCCCTAATGGGGGTGTCTGTGTCATCTCCCCACCCCCACCCCCCTGTGGGGAAATCACCACCCCCAAGTCTTTGGACACTTCAGATTATTCTTCTCAGGCTCTACTTCTTGGTTATTTTCTAACCCCTTTTTCTCCAGATCTTCAGGTGAAGTCTGAGCCATCCTCCCCCTGTTCTTCCTCCTCCCTCAGCTCTGAATCATCACATCTCTCCACAGAACCCTGCAGACAAGTAAGAGACAGTTTTCTTCTACTCTCAGTGGTAGGGCTCTGCACCATTTCCTTCACTCATGGGTGTTGAGAAAATGGTTTGTGTGCTATGATTCATGAAGTGCATGGAGGCTTCTTCTGCCTGTTCCATTTCCTCAGTATCCTCATTTTCCATACCTCCACAGGGAGGTATGGAAAGATATAGAAAGTATAATATTCAGAGATATATGGCAGCAGTGGTGGGGATGAGAAGAAGAGAGTTGTTAACTGTTGATAATTCTGGAACTGTTCTTGCCCAAGTTGTCTACTGTAAAGTGATACTTGAAATCATGAGACTTCATCAGCCCTCCCAGGAATAAAGTAGAAAGAGAGAACAAAGGGCCAGAGAAAGCCTAGGGAGATGCTCAATACTATTCAGACCACAGTGTCAGATAATTAGTGGTTCATAAGCTCTCAAGCTTTTGTTTTTGCTCTTACTCTCAACACCTCTTGTTTTCTTTCTTTCTTTCTGCCTCCTTGCTCCACCCTAACTCTCATCCAGGCACCTGGAGTTGGGGAGGTGCTGCGTGTGAAGACAGAATCCTTAGCACCCCCACTCTGTCTCCTGGGAGATGATCCAACATCCCCTTTTGAAACCGTGCAGATCACAGTGGGTCCCACCTCTGATGACCCTTCAGGTAATAATAGCCTGCCACTGTCCCCAGGCTTTACCAAGGTAGAGAGAACATATCCAAGTGCTTGTGTATAGATAGGGGGGGACTGGAGGAGGGGAGCAGACAAGGTGGGAAGGTGAAATGACAGATAACAGAGAGAAGTCAGGAAGGAAGAGAATTTTTGGCAGCATTGAAGAGACTGAGATGCCTTTTTTTCTTTATCTTGCTCCTAGTGTCCTGTTGTGTCATTCCATTTACCATTAATTTGCATTTAAGTTTAAGGCATATTTAGTTATTACTCCTCTCCTCTCTAGACTTTTCTTTCTTTTCTTTTTTTTTCTTGAGTAGGAGCCTTGATCTCCTAGGGTTAAGAGCCTTCTTCTTCATCTCCCAAATGCTGGGACTAGAGGTACACACCACCATGTCCAGATTCTTTCAACATTTTATTATTAAAATTTTCCAACATTCAGGAATATTGAAAATACCTAATTCCTAGATTTTGTAATTAATATTATTTATGCTTTGTGTGTTCTTAAGTTTACTTGTTCAAATATTTAGTCAATGGATTTTTTTTTTTTTTTTTGATAGTACTGGGGTTTGAACTCAGGGGCCTCATGTTTGCTAGGCAGGCACTCTACCACTTGAGCTACTTCACCAGCCCTTCAATAGATTTTTAATGGGCACATATTCCATGACAGGTGGCCAGTGGGGTGGTAAAAATCAAAGATGAACAAGACGTGACCTCCATGCTGACTTGAGAATCTTGGAGAATAGTAGAGAAAGAAAGATAGCACCAACGAACATAGGTGGATAGAGACCATTAGATGGTACCAGGAAAGCGCCTACGAGGGAGCTGAATTTGGGACTTGCTCCTGGAGGAAGGATATCTGGAGCCAAAATTTTATTTTGTTTTGCTTTATTTTTTTGTTGTTGTTTTGATTTGTAACTGACATACAAAATTTGTACTTATTGGGTACAATAGTTAAACATATGTATACAATGTATAATGATCAAATCAGGGTAATTAGCATTTGTCTTTCCTCAAATATTACCTTTTCCATTTGTTGGAAACTGAGTTGAGTTTTGAAGGACCCTGCATCTCTTCAGAGTGGATGTGAGGAGTGTCCTGAGTATCAAGGAGCTATGAGGCTAGAGAGCTAGATGGGCCCTATGAAGGGTCTCTTCATTTTCATTCTATGGACACTCTCAGCCTTTGAAAAACTAAACCGGGGAGCAATATGATTACAAGGCGACTCTGGTGACAGAGTAAAGAACAGATTGCAGAAAGGCAGGTCTGGAGGCGGAAGGACCAAGGAAGAGTCCCATGCAGTTATTCAAGGGGAGATACTCAGGTATGGAGAAAAAGGCAAATTTGAGAAAGAATGACGTAGAAGAGGTGAGTTGCAGTGACTTCCTGGGCACTAAAGAGAGATAGCAGACAAAGGATGTGTGGGTTTCTAGCTATGGCAGCTGCTGGTGGGTGGGGTACTCTCCACAGGCTAGAGACTACAAAAGCAGGAGTTTTCTGGTCAAGGGAGATGATGAATCCAATGTTGGACATGATAACTGTTGATTTCAATGTACCTTTCTCACAGGTTGAAGTCCAGAAACTGGAGGGCAAGGGAGCCCACTAATGCAGTCCATTTAGATTTTCATCTTGGGCTTCAGCAGGGCAGAGAAGGCTAGAGGAAAACGGGTCATGTTACAGAGGACACACAAAAAAATAAATCTTAAAACACCTTTAGCAGCAAAGATTACTGATGACTTTGCAACAGATAGTGTCATTAAAGTCATTTTCTCCCCTAATTTTAGGTATTTTGTGAAGGCCTGTTCTTTTCCCATCACTCCACTAGATTGGAAGTATAGTCCTTGCTTTTGGAGAACTTTGTGAGGGTTATATAGTACATTGTGCTTTTAAGTAGTTCGGATGAGATGGGTGGCTGGGGGGAAGAAGGAAAGGAAATGAGTAGTGTAGACCAGAGGTAGTGGTGGACTCTTGGCCTTTGGGCTGAATCTGCCCTAAGGTTTTATTTCACTTACATGGGGCCTGAAATTTGTTTTTGTGGGGTGATGAACAAGTTGTAAAGAGACTTAACAGAAGCCATGACGGCTCAGGGGTGGCTGGGGTTTGTGATTTGGTGCTTGGGAGGTTTAGATATCAGAAGGGAACTTGTATAAAGGCTGGAGCAGTAAGCTTTGTTTAAGGCCAGTTGAATTTGGGTGCCTGGGGGGAAGGGCGCGGCATGAGGATGGAAGTGACCAGAAGGCCGTTTGAGAGTTGGGATCTGGCATAAGCAACAGTCAGATGTTGTTAGCATGGAGGAATGTTGGACCAGGAGGGGGTGAAAAAATCCAGCAAGATAGGAATGTGATGCTGGAGACTCCCTTGCCTGAGTCTCTTCTATGTGAGTAGACAAGGGTCTGTGAGGAAGAAGGAAGGAATAGCAGAAGAACAAGGGCAGCATTAAGGAAAACTGTCCTTGGTGAGAAAAATTAGAGGAGCCACCGAAGAAGTAAAGAAAGTACCAGAAAAGAGGTGGTAGAGAGCTAACAGGTCAGCAGCTCCATGCTCTTCCTTCTGGTGACTGCTTAGGACCAGAATAGTTTCATGCTCAGGTACAAAGAGAAATGACACATTTCCCCCTCAGAATCCTTTTCCCCTTCATCTTCAGTGTTTACCTGACATTCAGCTTTTGTTTCTTCCTGCCACTTCATAGATATTCAGACCAAGGTAGAGCCTGTCTCTCCATCTTCCTCTGTCAACTCTGAGGCCTCCTTGCTATCAGCAGATTCTCCCAGCCAGGTGAGCATAAATTCCCTCCCTCCCTCCTGTAGTCCCTTTGAGAGCTCAGGAATTCGAGAACTTTCTTTTCTTTGGCTCTTTTTCTCAACACCCCAACACGCCTCCTGACTGACATCTCTGGACTGTCCTGTGTAGGCTTTTACAGGAGAGGAGGTTCTGGAAGTGAAGACAGAGTCCCCATCCCCTCCAGGGTGCCTCCTATGGGATGTCTCAGCCCCCTCACGTGGAGCTGTCCAGATCAGCATGGTTCCATCCCCTGATAGTTCCTCAGGTAAGGGGACCTCCTGATCCCTCAGGCTCCTGGTGACAGGCCTATAGTCTTGAAATGCCTTCCTTCCTTTAGGCAAAGCCCCACTCATCCGGAAGCCACCACTGCAGCCCAAACCTGTGGTGCTAACCACTGTCCAGATGCCATCCAGAGCTGTGCCTCCAAGCACCACCGTTCTTCTACAGCCCCTCGTCCAGCAGCCCACAGGTACCAAAGGAGAAGAGGAGAGGGACTGGATGGATCTTACCAGGGAGCCTACAGGCACTGAGGGTCCCGGTTAGTAGACACAAGGACCCTCCTGACTCCGCTCTCTGACCTCCTGCCCCAGGGCCCCCAGTTGTCCTCATCCAAGGTGCTATTCGAGTCCAACCTGAAGGGCCATCCCCTGCTGTTCCACGACCTGAGAGGAAGAGCATTGTTCCAGCCCCTATGCCTGGGAACTCCTGCCCACCTGAAGTGGATGTAAGTACTGTGGGGGAGAGGATAGAGCTCATGGGAAGAGGGAAGTCCATCATGGAGAGAATTCCAGGATAAGTAGGGAGTTGAGATACAGGAGCAAAAAGTGAGGACTCAGACCTTTGGATGATCTTCAGGGTCAGAGTAGACCTTTTCTATATGAGTATGAATTCCATGTAGTTTTTGAATCTTAAGGTTCATGATCACTACAGATAGAGAAGTGGGAGAAACATACTGTGTTATGGTTGTGGTAGTAGAGGAAAGGGGCTGCTTCCTAGGGAGAACTAAGCAAACTGTCCCTTTTTTTCTTTATCTTTTTTTTTTTTTTCCTGCAGTACTGGGGTTTGAACTCAGGGCCAACAGCCACTGGTACCCAGTTCAAACTGTCCCTTAATTATAGCAAAGTTAAATTTTGGGCTCTTAAAAAGAGGATTGAGAAGAAAGAAGATCCACCAAAAAGGACGAAGGAAGTTCCTTTTGCAGTCTAACCCCTTCCGTTTCTGAGGACCAGAAGTAGGGAATGGTTTTTGAGAAGGGCTCTTTATTTTATTTTGTAGTACTGGGATTTGGACTCAGAGACTACACCTTGAGCCCCTCCACTAGCCCTTTTTTTGATGGATTTTGTTTTTCAAGATACTGTCTCGCAAACTATTTGCCCAGGCTGGCTTCGAACTGTGATCCTCCTGATCTCTGTCTTCTGAGTAGCTAGGATTACAGGTGTGAGCCACCAGTGCCCAGCTGAGAAGGGCTCTTTCCCTGGAATGTTTCAGTAGAGAGGTTAAAGCTCCTCTCTGGCTATGAAGGTGAGGGTCAGGAAGGCAAGGAGAATGGCCCACATGAACTTTGAGTAATCAGTTCCTGGGGTTGGGGGCATGGCCCACTTGCCTACTCACCTTTCATTTTCTGTTTGACCTCCTGGTCCTAGGCAAAGCTGCTGAAGCGGCAGCAGCGAATGATCAAGAACAGAGAGTCTGCATGCCAGTCCCGGAGGAAGAAGAAAGAGTATCTGCAGGGACTGGAGGCCAGACTGCAGGCAGTGCTGGCTGACAACCAACAGCTGCGCAGGGAGAATGCTGCCCTCCGGCGGCGACTGGAGGCACTGCTAGCTGAGGTAAGCCTGGATTGTCCTTGGGAAAGAACAAAGCCTTCTTGAGGTGACTTAGTCTCTCCTGTCTCTTCCTCTGCACCTTAGAACAGCGAGCTCAAGTTAGGGTCTGGAAACAGGAAAGTGGTCTGCATCATGGTCTTCCTTCTCTTCATTGCCTTCAACTTTGGACCTGTTAGGTAAGATCATTCCCACGTACCAAGAACCCTCCAGGTAGAGCTGAGTCTCACAGCTGCTTGATTGCTGGCTTTGGCCCAGATTGTTTTCTCCATATCACATACAAATGTTCTGGTGTCCTTAGCACTGATGGTGTGCCCAACAGTCCTTTCTTGCTCCACCATTTCTCTCATAGGTGGTACCTTGTGGGGTAGATGATGGAAATGATGCCAATAAATAGTGATTTTTAAGGGCTTATTGAGTGCTAGGCTCTAGGTTAAGTGCTTTCCTTTTCTTGTTTCCTGGACCTGGGAGGTAGGGAGTTTTATTGTTCCCATCTTATATATGAAGAGACTCAGCCTTGTCAAGCAGATTAAAACCTAGGCAGTTTGACTGAGGAGCCCTTACTCTTGACTTCATAAAGCTGGAATAATTCTTTATGTTCTGTGCTTTCCTACCCACAGCATCAGTGAGCCTCCTCCAGCTCCTGTCTCTCCTCGGATGAGCAGGGAGGAGCCTCGACCCCAGAGACATTTGCTGGAATTCTCAGAGCAAGATCCAGTTCATGGAGTTGAACCCTTCCAGGGGTCCTTTCAGGCCCCTGAGGAGCCTCAGCCAAGCCCCACAGGTCATCCCAGTTTCAGGTGAGAGAACAAGGACTCCTTTTCCTTGGGGGGTATGAGCAAATCTTTTCCCAAAAAGCTACTTTTGTGGGAAGGGATAGTCAAAGCTGTTCTCTTGCTGACAGTGCCTGCCTTGTTGATGTGAGAGTGTTGGGCCATCTCTAATCATTGCTTCCTTCCTGCCTTACTCCAGGAACCTGACAGCCTTCGCTGGGGGTGCCAAAGAGTTACTACTGAGAGACCTAGACCAGCTTTTCCTCTCCTCTGACTGCCGGCACTTCAACCGAACTGAGTCCCTGAGGTGTGAGGGAGTCAGAGCTGGGCACCTTCCCTTGGCCTTTGAGGTCCTTCATAGACAGCCTGGTTGTCCTGTGTAGTGCAGCTTCAGCTCCCCCTGCCTTTTCCTTTCACTCTTGCGTGTGGCCCAAGGAAATAGTCATGACATCTTTGCCTGGCCCAGAGGTGGTGACCATCCTCTGCTTTCCCAGGCTCGCCGATGAGTTGAGTGGCTGGGTCCAGCGTCACCAGAGAGGCCGACGGAAAATGCCTCAGAGGGCCCAGGAGAGACAGGTAAGAGTCAGTGGGGGTGGTTCAAGAAAGGTCATATGAAGACAAGGGCCAAATGTCATGGGGATTTCAAGTGGGTATTTTGTGGAAGTGTCAGGGATTGGGGAAGTGGAGGAATGGCTATGAGGTGGCGTTAGCTTCCAGGGGCCTCCTGTCTCTTTCCCGTTTCCCTTTAGCCTCTCCAAATCCTTAGATCCTTCTCCTTCCAGAAGTCTCAGCTACGGAAGAGGTTGCCTCCAGTTAAGTCAGTCCCCACCCAACCCCTGGGACCTCCAGAAAGGTAAATAAAGTGAGATTCTACTCTATAAAAGAACTGTACCTCCCAGAGCTGTTCTATGGTTGTCATCATTGTCACCAGTGACATTATGCTTCCCTCCCCCGCCAAGGTCTCTGTCTCTTTCCTTCTCATCAGGAACTAGGCACTGGGCTTAATTCCTCCCAAATCCTGTTTTCACCTTCCTAGGGATGCTGTGGGCCAACTACAGTTATATCGCCACCCAGACCGTTCACAGCCAGAGTTCTTGGATGCAATTGACCGTCGGGAAGACACATTTTATGTTGTCTCCTTCCAAAGGGTGAGTTCCTCCTCCTCACCCTCCCCTTGTCACCCTGAACTCTATCAGGTGAAGAGTAGAGCTGGGGAGACTGTGGGCATCTTTTCCTCCACTGCCCAGCCTGGCCTCTCTGCTCCCCAGGACCACTTGCTGCTCCCAGCCATCAGCCACAACAAGACCTCCAGACCCAAGATGTCCCTGGTGATGCCTGCCATGGCTCCTAATGGTAATTCTGTCCCTCTGGGTGAAGGGAGCGGTCCTGGAATTGAGGAAGGGGGAAGTTCCTACAGGGAGATCCAGCAAGGGGTACTGAGGGAGAAAGGGAGAGGAGCGGGGATATTCAGAGAGAGACTTAGAGGTGAAAAGCCCGAAGTAAGTGAAGAGAAAACAAAGCACAGGTGACTGAGAAGTGGAGGGGAGAGACAGACACAGATGACACACAGAACACCCCAGCACTTAGGAAGCTGAGTCAGGAGGATGGAGAGTTTGAGGTCAGCCTGTGCTACATAGTGAGATTCTGTCTCAAAAAAAATGCGGGTAAAAAGAAATCTACATAACACAGAAAATAAAAAAAAAAAATGCAAGTGAAGGTACCTAGGTAGGTGGCTGGGCAGAGTGGGATAAGATGAAGCCTGCTAGACTCTCACTTCTTTTTTTCTCTTAATGTCCTCTTCTATATGATCCCTCACTCATCAATGTCATTTTCTTTTCCTTCCCCATTCCTTTTCCTTGCCCCAACCTTCATCCTTGCCATCCCATTTAACTCCGTTGTGGACCTGCCTCCTCATCATTGCCCCTTCCTTTCCTTCCAATCATCTTAACTTTTCTGACCCCCCCTCCCACTCCTGTTTGCCTCCTCCCTCTTTTCTTCATTAACTCTCCTCTTCTCACAGAGACCCTATCAGGCCGGGGGGCCCCAGGGGACTATGAGGAGATGATGCAGATCGAGTGTGAGGTCATGGACACCAGGGTGATTCACATCAAGACCTCCACGGTGCCCCCCTCGCTCCGAAAACAGCGGTCCCCAACCCCGGGCAATGCCACAGGTGGCCCCTTGCCAGCTTCTGCAGCCAGCCCAGCCCATCAGGCCTCCCACCAACCCCTCTACCTCAATCATCCCTGACCTCTGCAGTTCACACTGACTTAGAACTGGGGGTGGGGGACACAAAACAACCAAATGGGACAGTTTCAAATTTCCCTGATCCCTGGACTTGGGGCAGTTGGTAAAGACAGAGTGTGGGGTTAAGCACTTTTTAGAATATAGGGCTCCTCTCATTTCTATGAACCCCCAGTCCTGGTTCTTTCTCTGAGGGCATTGAGTGAGGTTTGGTTTTGGGGTGGGTGGGCTCCCGAATACTCTTTATACTTTTGTTTCTCTCTTTGGGAGTAGAGATGGGAATTTAGTCCCCAGGTGGGACAAGGGAAGTTTTTACATTTTGGAGTTGGTTACTCAAGTAAAGGAGGGGTGGTGGAGGGAGATCAGTTTATGTGTGTACGTATCTTTTTTATTATTAAATAAACAACTTGGAGGGCATTAAAGGATTGGTGGCTGCCTTTCTGGCTTATGACTTCTAGAGGGCCAGCATCAAAGAACCAAGCACAGAAGATATTGCTGGCAATGGGGTGGGGTAGGTGTGGGGTCACAGACCTCATGTCATCCACTTGCCCTACTCCTGCAACTATTGGGTATGTCTGTGTCTGTGGAGTGATACCAGAGGATTTTACTGGAATGTGTCTGAGTAAACAGGAAGGATGGGCCCCACGCCCTTCAGGGTGCATAGCAGCTCATTCCCTGCTCTCCAGCAGGTTTCCCCCCCCCCTTGCTTTCCAGGATGAGCAGCTCACACAAACAACAGGAGCTAGGGCCAGAAGGCGCTCAGCCCAGGAAGGAGGGACCATGGTGGAGAAGGTTGTGGTATTTAGGAGGGAAGGGACATCTTGCAGGACATCCTCTTAGGGACTGAGACCTGAGGGTTCAGATGAAAGAAAAAGACAAGAGTGGGTCAGGAAGAAAATGCTGTGTGTTCTAATTTGGAGGAAGGGGAACAGGAAAAGTGAGGGGTTTAGTCTGCCCAACCAGGAGGGATCTCTTATCGAGCAGCGCATCAGGCCTGACCCTGCAGGAGTGTCCTGGGTCAGCTGGAGGGTGTAAGCTGGGCCTGGGCTCCATGCCCAGATGACTGGACAGGGGCTGCCTGGGCCATAAGCCCAGGCCTGAAGGAGGAAGAACCTCACATGTCCAGCCAGGCTCTCCCTCCACACCCCCACCCATACTGTGTTTGGGGTGAAAACAGACTGGGTAGCTATGACAACCTGGAACTGGGGCTCCCAGGAACTGGGCTCTCCTCCCTCCAGGGGACAGCCCTGGACCTCAGCCACTTCCTGTCTCAGGTCTCCCTGAACCTTATCCAGCCCTATACCAGCGGTAAGTGCCATGAGAACCAGGATTTTGGAAGCAGATCACCTGTTGAGCCTTTGTTAGCTGATGTCCTTAAACACTCTGGGCCTCTGTGTCCTCATCTGTAAGATGCGATACTCCTACGAAGTTTTCGGTGGTGTAAGGATGAAAGGTGATGTTTACAGTGGTTGGTCTGTAGTAGACACTACTTTCCTCAGCCTCTGCTCTGTTCCTCATTTACATTGTCTTCCTCTTTTCCCCTTTTATGCCATCTAGTTCCATCACTGTTTTCCTACCCTATTGTTTTCTCCTTCCTGATCCCAGTTTGGGAAAGTGATCAAAGAGCTGGCATCTCACACTGGGGACTTGAGTGGGACATGTACTTTTTTCTAAGTGACCAGGGACAGTGGGCACTTTAGTATGAGCCAGACTTCAGACTGGTCTTAGCTGAGGGAGTGGAGTTTTAGGGAGGACTGAGGAAGCCATTGAGATTGGGCATGTGGGGTGGCAGGGTTGGAATGGGGAGGTGAAGGCAGGCCCTGGGCTGCTGCCCTTCAGGCCCTTCACGCCCTTCAGGCCCATTTCCATTCCTCTGCCTGTACCCTACCCAAGGCCAGCTCAGTATGCCAGGCTGTTGCCACACCTACATCTCACTCCTCCTCTTGTGAACCCTCTGTCCCTCTGTTCTGCTTTCCTTGGGCCACCACCTCTTCCTTCCTCAGGATCCCCACCTTTTGTTCTCTGTCATCCCTGAACTTAATGTCCCTCCCTTCATATAGACTTCTTGCCTTCCTGTCTGTCCTCCACCAGGAGTTTTCACCATCCCTTTTGACCCTTTATTCCTGATGCATTTTTTTTCTTTCATTTTATTTTTACTTTTTACTCCCTCTACTTTCTTTTATTTTTCCCTGGGCTTCTCAGGCTCCTGCTGTTGACCCTGGGTGTGCCTCCTCCCTTTGTCATGCCTCCCCCCTCTCTATTTCCTTCTGTACTTCTTTGTCCACATTCCTTGTCCCTTCCCATTACTTCCTCTCTGCTCCCCCCCCAGTCTTCTCTTTCCTTCCCCCTTCCCACTAAACTTCCCCACTCCAGTCCTCTTCCCAGCTATGGGGGCCAGGACTGGGGAGCCTAATGTTTGCGTCATTGTTCTGCTATGGCTTCTAGATACAGCACATCTGGATTCCGGGGCCCAGATGTGTGGTTGCCACAGCGACCTCAGTCCCTCTGGTAAATACAGGCGCCCACCCGCCCCACAGCAGAGAACAAAACAATTGTGTGACTTTCTTTTGTCACGAGATAGAAATGTCCTCCCTCCTCCCTTCTCCCCACACCCATGTCTCCTGGCAAAGGGAGTTTTAAGGGTCCAGACCCTTCTTTCAGTGGCTCTCTTGTCCCCTGTTCAGCCCTGGCCTCTCAGTTCTCATCTTTCTTAAAGATTCTGTCTTTTCTTTCACATTCTCACCTTCACCACACACCTCCTAGCTCTCCATAATGGATGTTGAATCCCATCTTACGTAGTTTTTTTTCTCACTGTATCTATACAATAACTGGACATAGAAGTTTCAAGAATCCAGATTTTTTTTCTTTGGGTGGTGCTGTGGTTTGAATGCAGAGCCTCATGTTTCTAGGCAGGCACTCTACCACTTCAGCCACTCGGCCAGCCCAAAAAATCCAGATTCTTTCTTTTGCAAGTCCTTCAAGAAGCTACTTCATAGCTGGGTGCTGGTGGCTTGCGCCTGTAATCAGGAAGCAGAGATCAGGATCATGGTTCGAAGCCAGCCTGGGCAAATAGTTTTGAGACACCCTATCTTGAAAAAAGTCAATACAAAAAAGGGCTGGCAGAGTGGCTAAAGTGGTAGAGCGCCTGTCTAGCAAGTGTGAGGCCCTGAATTCAGACCCCAGTACTGCAAAAAAAAAAAAAAAAAAAAACAACACTTCATTTGTTTCTGTCCTGTCTTAAATCTTTTCCTTTCCCAAAGCTGTTGGGGGAAGGGGAGGGGAGAAGATACAGACTTTTGAAATCAGAAACCTGGTGAGACCCACCTCCACCACTGATGGCAAAGCCCCTAGGACAAGCCATGCAATATCCACGAGCCTCCGTTTTGTTAGTCACAAAGAGGGATTAATAAAATGCTTGAGCTGTGTAGGGAACTTTGTAAACGGAAGCCCAGTACAAATGTTTCCTATCTTTCCTCTCTCTGGGACTGCTTCCTTGGATCATAGCCTCTGGCCTCTTTTCCTCATTCCTCTCTCTCTCCTTCAGGTCCTTGCCCTCGATTGCCCTTCCTTTTCGTCTTTTTCTCTTCTATTTCCCCTTCATTTCTATATCTTTTATCCCATAACCTCCTGAGGTCAGAACAGGAACTTGGAGGATCATTCAAGGATGTAGGTTTGGAGCTGAAGATACCTGGCCTAAGGATCCTGAGAACAGCCAGAGCACACCTACAGCACTAGACAATACTGTGACCTTTACCCCCACCATCCAAAGGCACCTTAGTGAAGCCTATCTCAGCGCTGACCCCTGGGTCTTCCTGCCTTTACACCTGCGGTTCACTGCCAAGCTCTTTTTTCCCAACTTTTTCTCCTAGTCTATTCACAATTTAGTGTTGACAAGCATTCGTTGGGTACCTACTTTTCACAAACGTATAAGACATGAGCCCTTTTGAGAGCCTGAAATCCAAGAGGTGAATCAATTTTAGACAATGATTATTTCAGAACCTGAAACTTTCAACCTTCTGGTGGCTTCCCCAAATGGCATATAAGCTCATAGACATCTGGAACCTCACATTCCTGTATGAGACCCCAGCATCCTTTCCCCTGGGCCATCCTGGCTCTGGCTTCTCTCCAGAGTTTCCAGGCCACTTGCTGGGCCAAATGTAAGTATGGTGACCCTACTTCCTAAATAGTAAAACAAGATACATGGCCTACCTAAGGGAAGAAGTGGATATGACCATGAAACATCTGAAATCTGAGGGTACCAGAGACAATCCATACTGCTCAATCTAGTCTCCCATGTCACACTGTTTCGAGACCCCCCTCTCACCCTTTCATCTACTTCCCTCCCACCCCTAACTGCCTGCTGGGAGATCTGAGGAAAGCTGTTACCTACTCCTGGTTCTGTGGGCTTTAGGCCAAGGCAGAGGAAGGAAGCAGAGCCCAGCTCTATCCAAGATGCTGACTTCATTTTCTCCATCAAAGCCAGGAAAAAAACAGCCACACACACACACACACACACACACACACACCCAGACACACGGACACACGGGGACACCCATGCGATAGCTCATGTGTGCTTCTCCTTCAGCCACATGGCTATCTGGGCAGTGGCCACAGCCACATTTTGTGCCAGCACTCTCTGAACCAGGCACACCTGTGGCTGAGGAGATCTGACCTGGGGTGCAGACACCTGTGCCTCAACCCATTCGTGGCATCAGAAGTCCCTTCACCATCACTGACTTGGCCAAGGTACACCTCAATGACGAGGTTTGCACTGGGGTAGAGAGAAGTCTTCAATGTGGAGCATGGGGTGGGTTCTTCTTCTGCGGGGATATTTTTCCTCTGTGGCACAAGTTCTCTTTTCAGCTTTTTGTCAGGGAAGAACTTCGCTAAATGAGGTCAGAGAAATGCCTAGCAGACTTCTGTAGGGTGTATCTGCCGGTCTCTGGCTGTCAGTCTTTCTATCTTTGCCCGAGGCCAAGGTAGCCTTTTTCTCCTATCCCTGTTTCCCTACCCTGCTCCCCAAGGCATTAGCCCCCTTCTGCTTTTTGCAACATTTGCCTCTCCATTTGTGTGTCCTACCCCTGTATTTGCCTCCTGCCTCTAGCTCTTTAATCATCCTTATACCTTCCTCCCAACCTTCAGGCTTTCCTTCCCTGACTCCCCTCAACCCCTGCTTCCTTCCCAAGTCATATGTCTTGGTGTTCAGCCAAGCCCTTGACCAGCCAGTGCACAAGTCTCACCCGCTATTTCTGTAGGAATTTGCTGAAGTGGGAGAATGAAAAGGGGGCAGCAATCCCAAGTTGAGAACAGGAGGGGAACTGGGCAGAACAGAGAAAGGCAGCTCAAGACATTGCAAGTGAGGATAGGAGGGGAGGAGGGTGAGTGCAGGTGGGACCAGTGGGAAGGGCAGGTGGGGGGCAACGTGGAGCCCCAAGATGGTCTCATGTAGGAGTGGTTTAGACTTGGGGAGGTTGCCCTGCCTCCCACCCTACCTCTGTTCCCTGCACCACACTGCACCGCACCACTGGGGCAAATTGGGGGTGGGGTGGGGGGATAAAGGAGTTGGTGCTGAGCAACAATGAGGTGAGAGCAGATATCTAAGCTGGAGACACCTAAGCTGGAACTAAGGCTGAGAAAAGGTAGAAGGGGAGCTTGGGGATGAGAGGGGGAGAGGGGCTGGACTTGAGGAATGGTGTTGGCAGAGGAGAAAATGGATCAAAGAGAAGGGACCACAAGGGGGGAAAATGATGGGGAAAAGAAATAGCGGGAAGAATGGGGAATGTCAAATTTGGGCAAAAACTAGTGTGGGGAGGGTTAAAAATGGGATGGGGGAAAGGACTTGTGTGGTAAGATGACAGATAGAGGGGGTGAGGTGAGGATATGGGGGGACTCTGAGGGAAGGGGACCAGAGTGATGGCGGGAGGAAAGGAGAGGTAGCATGTGGGAGGGTCTAGGAGGAATGAGAGGACCTGCCCTATCTCCGCTCCCCTCCCTGACCTCATGCTGGTCCTCCCTTTCTCCTCCCCCCCTGCTCACTGCAGGCTCCCTCCTTCTCTCTGTCACTGCCGACAGTTCTGGTAGTGGCTCAGAGAGCCTCTGCTGTAAGCAACAAGCAAGTGGTCCTCCAGGGAGTCCAGGGCTGCCAAAGAGAGCCTACCCTGCCCTGCCCTGAAACATCCCCTTCTCAGGTTGGGACGGAGCAGGTGCAGAGGCACAGCAACCACTCCATTACCCAGGTAAGTAACAGAGCTCTGGGATACCCAGATGGAGGAGTGAGAGCAAGGGATTTTTCTCCTGTTCTGCACACTTGGGGCAAAGGTATGGCAGGAGAGCTCCAAGGAGTGCCTCCCAGCACAGGGACTTTCTGCTCCAGACAGAGGAAATAGAAGCCCACATTGGGACCAAATTCATTGTGGAGGTGTATCTAGGAGGATAGGGCAGTATAGTTGTTGGAGGTGTGTGCCAGGATTTGGACATGATGCAGGCACCTGAGAGAGGCTGGGAACAAATCAAGGGACTCCCAGGAGTCAGGTAGTGGCACAAGGGTGGAGCGGTTATTGGGAGGTGCTTGGGGTGCAGGAAGGACAAAGCTAGGCTGAGCTGACAGCCAAATGGGCCTCAGGAGAAAAGTGCAGGTAGAATCAGAGTGCTGGGGCTGGAGCAGTTGAGCCCAGGCTCTGGGAGAAACCAGTTAGCTGCTTTGGGGATCCAGATGGGAACTCCTCAGGTGACAGCACAGGAGTTACAGGGCTTAGGAGGGAGTCTGGGGAGTCTCAAGCCTTTAAGAAATGCTTAAATGGGGCAGAGAGAGGACTTTCAGATCTGGGAAGGGCACAGAGCCTACAGATGATCCCAAAACTTGTTCTTGGCCAAGAGCGCTGCACCCATGACTCACAGTTCAGCGGGGCTGCGGTGACTGAGTGACGACCCTGGAGGGCACAGAGCTTGGTCTTCACTGCGTCCCCCTTCCAGGCTCCCCCTGCATCTGTCCCTCTGAACCTTCCCACTCAACCCCAATACACGTGACACACCCCGGGAGGGGCGGGAGGGGCGGGTGGGGCGGGTGGGCCTCTTATCTTGCCTGGAAAGAATTTAATGGCTTAGAAACAACTGGAATTGGAACTGAGGGGAACTACTGGGAAGCAACTCGGAAACACCGCAGCTGCCTTCTGCCCCACCCTGCTTCCCGGACCTCCAGCCTTCCCCTCTTTTCCTG